AATATAGTTTCCTATTTTGCAGAGGTTTGCTGTAATGTTCCAAATGATAGTTTTTCTTCGAGTGTGGATGTGAGCAACGCGTGTTGGTGTTCTCACATTATGTCGACTGGGGGCACTGGGCAGTGTCGGTTCAGATCAGTTCCACTGGCATGAGGAGTCACGTAATTGCGCCTCTCCGGCTCCGAGCTGAGCCCCCCAAACTTAATTTTTGTAATTGAAAATGCGGCCCGGTTGTGGGCGGATTATCTGAATGACTGTGACGCTCATGTCATGTCCTTATAACCGGGATTCATTTCGTTTGCATTTACATATGCCTCTCTTGCTGAAAAGAGGATACCCCCGGAGGAACGTTGATAATGCTTTTGGCTGCAGGACGAGAAATAAATTGTGCTTCAAAATGTCACAGTATAATGTGCTTTTCATTCCAGTCAAACTGAATGTTGAACGTTGTCACTCAATTGCCATGTAGCCTTTAAACAGGCTCTATATGCCGCTCGTTAAACCATGTATATACTTCTTATGTAAATTCAAATAACTGCCACATGTTTAAAAAAAAGACATGTTTGCCTGTTATCGATTCCGAAATATAAAGTCGTATGTAGTTCATTGATTCACGGTATGAAATGAGGCGGTTAATGTCCAAAGATACACCGGGGGCGACAGGGGGACCTTCCCCCCGGGAAAAAAGGGAAACGGAGAAAGGAAGAACCGACCACCCAAAAAAATATGTAAAAAGGGATAAAAATGTCCCATTTCTCCGAAAATTCTTGAGAAGTGACCCCTCCCCGGTTGATGGCTTGTCAGTATTTGCTTGCCTCTCTCAAATGTTCGACGACGTCAATGCTTCGGCTTGCTCAATGGTAAAAACTATCGTGGTTCAAAAATCACTCTCAGTTCCTTGTTTCGTATTTGTATGTTTATTTTCTCATGTACATGTACTGTACAATACATCTACTATGGGTTCGAGTTGATACCTACCAAACTGCACGAACTGTAACGCCGGTCAAGGAAGTCGATGGGAGTTCGTGTAATCCATCCGTCAAACGACACAGAGTGATGAGATCTGTAATGGTATAGGACTTGTTTGCGTGATGCAGGCGTGGTGTGTGTTCAGCAGGTTTATACGGCGAACCATGAGACCGTTTTCATTTGACAATTGATGTGACTGCCGATTGACATCATGCAAATGTACTGATAGTGTTAAGTCAACCTGGTGTCGGCCACTTTGAAGCTGTAGGAAAACCGAAAGTCGTGCCATATTTTGCTTGTTGATAGCGCTATAACTCTGTTAATATTAAAACATTATTACCCAAAATTCTTCAAGGGTGAAATGGAGCGAGATAACCTGAACTTATTATTACAAACCTTTTCAAAACCGTCATTTTTTGAGTGCTCCGGTATAGGTGGAACCTCTTTTCGGGACCCAATTGATTTAATTCTAGGTTTCTGTTAGTCATCAGGCGGGACATGCTTTATCTTCAGACGGAAGTACGGAAGTACAAGTACAGCATGTGACCTCAAAAAGTATTTTAGTGTGAAGACTTTAATGTTCGTTTCCTATGATTTGGCGTTGAATCTGAAGTGGGACGATTGGGGGTGTATGGTTGCAAACGCGTTATCATCGCAAAATGAAATCGTAATCCAGTCTTGAGAGTAAGCGAAGTAGGTCGAGCTGATATTACGAATGATGCACTTGCAATCACATGATGTGGATGGCTCGTTGCTGTTGCAGGAACCCAAATCCTAATCCTGCAGTGACGGTGGTTTGTCTTCGGAAAGATCATAATCACCTTATTTGGACTCGCGGACGATCTGCCGTATCTGTCCCGTCTATCTCCTTTGCTGACAGACTATTTGGATTACGCGATGTTCCCGGCATTAAGGCGCTGTCCCAGCTCAAGTTGCCTCATGATGTCCTGCCAAGACAGCGTTGTTGCGGTGCCCATAGAGCACGGACTGGGAGTGATTGCATTGGAAAGGGCGAGACTAGCGCATATTTATGTTTGTTCTCTTGTGTCATCATAATTTCGTTGAAGATTCACATGTGATACCCGCAGGAATTTTGTCTGCACCTACATGTATTTCTTTGTTATGTGTTTACTTTGTTTAAAAAACCAACACATTTTTAATGAAAAAATAATGGATCTGAAAGGTTTAAACATTCTTTTCCGCACATTACAATCTTCATAAAACCACCCATTTAATGATTTAGTAGCATATGTACACGTACGCATACATTAGAGAATAAGAAAAATTGGTTTCATATCATAATTATGTGCTTTAGTCATTCTGACATATCACTAAAACCTCATCCAAGTAGTAGTTATTGACCACGCACGGTTGTCATGCATGTCAATAGCATAAATGGGACCGGTATGAATGGAAGGATTGGGGTCAGGCAGGAAAATTATTCTCTTAACAAATCCCGCAAGGGGAGTTACGGGAAAGGACCCATGAAAACGCGAGTCGAGTTCACGGGCACCTGCGTTGCTGCTATCTTCCTACGATAGCAAGCCAGTAGCCCGGATGTGCCCATGATAAATCACTACGCTGTAAGCCCTCAGAAAGCGCAGTGCAATATCCTGTCGACGGCAAGCGTAACCTGAGCATGTAGGGCTCGGGATACTTCACCTGCGTTGTGGATGCAGCCATATCCAGAAATGGTTTCAATTACTAAGACGCCAGTTGCACAATGTCAACTATGTCAACACCAGCCAGTGAAATTATGTTTGCCTATGCGTATCGATATAGGGTTAGGTCCTGAGTCGAGTTACTGGACTGGTAATTTTCGTATTGCATTATTGTATTTCCTCGGTTTTATAACCCTCAAGAAGCTGATCATGGCATCTCATCTTGGGGAGAGCCAGCAAGTTTAGCTAAACGCGTTTGACAAAGACTTTCGCAAACACAGGTTGATTAAAGATCGACGGCCTTATCAGTATTGGGGTTAAGCTGAACTTTTACAGCGAGAGATGGCTAATTTCAAACTTGATCGGAGAAAGTTCACGCGCACTGTAGTATACTTTGGGAGGATTTATTGGCTGTGTAAAATAGCTCCATATAATCCACTTTATGCATTGATTTTGCCGGAGGACTGTTCCATTTGTCAGTTGTCCATCCTCCTTGAATGACGGAAAGCTTTGATGTCACTGCACAACTAATCCATGAACCTGTGAAAGACAGGATAAAGTTTAGTTTACTGTACGCTTTGGACAATCCTGTCCACGATGGGGAATCAGGAAATCGAGTTTTCTTTACAATACGTAAGGGCAAAGGTAATGATGAACTCTGCGTGTAAAGGATAAATTGAATTTGAGTGCGCCATGAAAGAAGTCAGTCAGGAAATTGTTGGGTTGTTTCAGAGTTAGAGGCACACTTCTATGTTGTCAAGATATACTTTGTCAAGATGTAGAAAGATGTACACTTTTATGTTGTTTCCATATGAGGCTATGAATTATTTTGCAATTTGCTTCAGTTCATTCGCGGGTAACGGGCGTCCCACTTTAAAATGCCACTGCTATACGGGAAGTCAAGGCTTAGAGTTAACGCACCTCGAGAATCTGTCACCAGTCGGCACAAAATTACGTGTAAACATACCGTTAAGGAAAACTTCATTATACATTGAAATCACTTTGCTGACAACCTTTTCGGACTGACATTATATTTCAGCTGGCTTAACGAAGCTCGTGACTGACCAAAGGAACCAAAGCTTGACCTGAACGTGTTCAGGTAATTAGAAACTAACTTACCAGCGTCCATTCGTCAAAAACTAATCTCCAAGACCCTTCAACTTTGGTCGCAAATCGCACCGATGATTTATCGGCAGTATACTGAGGGCGCAGAATGTTTTCCCGTAGGAGATAATTAGCGCATTCCTGACCAAACACAGGGCCAAATGCTTAAATTTCGGCATGAGAGAAAAAGCGCAAAAGTCGGGCGTATTTTTTAGCCAGGACATTTATCACACTTGCTTTCTGGAGCAAGTGTTGGACGACCCGTCTCTGTTTGCGCACACAGATTAGCACCAGTTGGGAATATGGCTCATTATGTCGAAGGATGCTCGCATGCAACAGTCATCAACTTACAGAATGGAAATCTCTTTCTGAATAAGATGTAGAATAAACGGACGGGTCGCACCTTGTGTTTTGCTGGACTATTCACTTGATAGTTATCAACCTTGTACATAAGATACTTAGGCTAAACGAGTAATTCCAAAAAATAGGGGTCCATTTTTTTCATGTCCCTGTCACATCTGACATATGATTTTGTAAGTTCAGAACACATTTCCTAATTTCCAAGAGTGATGAATTAATGCAAATTACCTGCCATTGCCAAACATATAGTAATAGTTTGAAATCAATTCCGGTGATATTTCCATGTCAGATAACAAAGGTCAGATGTAACAGGGACACAAAAATGTCACACTTTTGGACCCCTAATTTCTGGAATTACCCGGACACGTAGCAGTTGTAAAACTTTATGTTAGTTCGAAACAAAGACAGGGACATTGAGCGTTTCAGGGAAGGACACTATCACTCCGTTTCTTCAAGAAGGGAAAGGTTATTTTGAGCAGTGGCGTAAATCTGTGCCAGGGACTTGGGCGGTAACTTAAATATAAAATATTGCCCAAAATCGAAAAGCGGGAGAGGAGCTAATTGCTGGATACCTTATGACACCAGGGAGACGTTTTCTTACACCCCTACCTTACACCAAAGCGTCTTATTTAAAGCCTGTGCAGGTGTTTTACCCTTTTTCAGTACTATTGGATACATTTTGGTCTTTGAGAAATGTACTGCATTTTTCTTGTTTTTTTTTCTCGTTATACGAAAAAAAGGACAGTGTAAGTATCAAGTTTTTAGCAAGGTCAAAAAGTTTCAGTTTTTGGAATCTTCATGATGTAAGTCTGCCTTTGAGCTTGATATTTTGCACCATTTCGGCCCCGTTTTCGGGCTTTTTCTTAACAGTTCCGTTGATTAGGTTTTCACTTTTTTATGCGACAGTTGTGGTAATGTGTGCATCAGGAGACTCCATCCGCAAAATCATGTTGGCCGCCCACGAGCTGGGCATGACGAACGGGGAGTACGCTTTCTTCAACATCTTCCTCTTCGACAGCAATTACTTCGGGGACGTCACCTGGAAGAGAGGCGACAAGGACGACGAGGCAGCCAAGCAGGCCTACCGCTCCCTCATGACATTCACCCTGCGCAAGCCGGAAACTCCCAAGTTCGAGGCGTTCGCTGCCGAGGTGAAGGAGCGTGCGCTGAGGGATTACAACTTCAGCTTCGATGCAGTTGGAGAGGAGGTAATAAAAAAAAAGTCCGGGGATGGGGGGGGGGGTGCTCTTGCCCTTTCCTTAGTTGTACAAACCTGGGAGTCGCACCAGATTCGACACTCTCGCCTGTGACGGTTGAGTTGTTTGGCCGGTATAGGACAAGGAATCAAAACACAAATGGCATGTTTCTCAACGGTACCGGTAGAAATATTTTCATGACAACTATATTTACATTTTCAGCACGCTGAAAGCGTCTGACAAAAGACTAGAGCGCGGTTTGATCTAATACATGCCGGCTGCAAAGAGTACCGTTTCTAATTCGCCTCGGAAAACGAGTTGGTTAAGGTGTTCGTGGCGACTGTCTGCTTGAGTGGACTAATGTCATCATCGCTATCACCTTGACTATTAAAAGGCCACCAATCTCCTTTCGCCTGAGTGCTGGTTTTTCATCACTTGATTTTATTTTAAATTTTTTTGGGAGGGGGCTTGACTCTGTGTCCTTGTCGTTTGTCGTAAGTATTGTGAGAGATTCACCCTCAACTTGCATTCGAATTTAGGGAAATGAAAGCAAACATTAACCTAGCGGTTTTGTCGCGATATCGTGGGAACGCTTTATAGTTATAATCCTATTAAAACTGATAGTAGATTACGAAACACACAAAAAAGTCAGAACATAACTAAAATTGTTGTTCTTGTCACTTAAATATTCGTGGACAGGAAATAAGCAACTTTGGCTATTGATTTTAACTTGATTACATGTAATAGCTGGAGCCACAAAAAGTAATTCGTTTAGAAAGCAAAGAATAATTGCTTTGGTGGAGAGCATCTTTGTGCTGGCAGTGCTTACAGTTTCTGCGTTATAATCATTCGATCTCGAACGCTGCTGTTAAAGTACATTTCAAAACTATTGACCTCCCTTGAAACCCTTGAAATATGCACATAGTCTCGTCACACGGCTCACGCCATCTTGTTTGCTTTCATTGTCAATTATTCCATTTCACCGGAATGCTAACTTACTTTACCTAAACCGTGGACATGTTGGCTTAAGTTTTTCCATATCCAACGGAATTTATTTGATGTCATTTCTATTAATTGAGTCCTTTATAATTAAACAGCCGTCATTGTGAAATTCCACAATGTGCTTTCCTGTCCTGTTTGTTCAGTTTTTATTCGGGAGCAAATAAATAACCAAAACTATAGGTGTATTTCTGGACAGGAATATTTGTTATGCTTTCTTTTTGAAGGAGGAGGGATATGCTTCTCCTGTGCCAATATTGGCATAATGTCCCGTCTTATTACAAGCACTATGGATGAAGCAGCTCACCCACTGGCAAAGAATATGGTAATTTTGTGAAACCCGCATTATGCACTGAACATCCGACTCTTTCCTTACCTGAGAGGATACTGAATGAAGACAAGCTTATGGCGTGCGTTTACGTTTTCCCACAGAGATTGTCTATACCATTCTTTGGCGGGTTGCAGATGTGAAACGTGGGCCGCATCGCCTGCATTGATATGCTGACGCCAACATCTCTTTACTGCGGTGTTCGATATCCGCCATCTCTCATCTTGCATCTAGCTTTATGAATCTCGCGTTACGTGTCGCGTTTCGGATCTCGCATCTTAGGTTAAATGTCAAACACTGTCAAACTGGCATAGTTAGATGTCATGCGCACCCGGCACTGCCGTGTATAGCCACCTGTGTTGTTTGCAGCGTTTGTTGTGTAACTTCAGATCATTTTGGTTATTTTGAAGGTGTTGTTAGTAAGAGTGCAATATTTTGTTGTAATGTAAACAAATTATTTATCAAATTTATGTCATTATTTAAAGAAAAAGATTCGAAACGCAACTTGCGAGATTCTTAATTAATTAACGCGAGATGATCGGTGGTAGATTCAGAGCGCCATAGTTTAGTAAACGTCGTATTACGACCGCGAATGTCTGTGATAAATGCACGTCGATGAATAAGCTGCATCAACGTTCCACAGGGATTGGGTAAACCTAGAGGGCCTCCGGTTGAAGGTGGTGCAGGTGGTGTCTTGTACCCGGCTTACGACCCAATTTTCTTCGTATTTCGGTGGGATTGGAACGGACAATGGCTCTGCCTGGACGCGGCTTCAGCTCTCGTGTTTCGTTGTTTGAAATTTACCAATAAGACAAATTGTGTGGCATTTGGACCGTCGTAAATCATTCGTAATAAGAGAGGAAGATTGATGCTATTCCCTTTAGGTTAAATTCTGTACACGAAGAAATTTGGAATCCGAGCGTGCCGTTTGTTTGGCCCGTACGACCCGATCTTCATTAATATGGATTTTCCGTCTAGGATAAAGTGGTGGACTCCACCATGTACTCTCATTCATCATTTATGGCCCTGTGTACTTCATAAGTTATGAATGCCTAGCCTTTTTAGGATGTGGTAATCCTTTTTTCAATCTCCGTCATTTTCCGTCAATACTGATTTCCATATTCATGTGCCCAGCCCAAGATTTCGGTGTCTTTCTTGCGGAGAAAGTTTCTTGGTGAATCTATCATGATCTAATTCGGGTTTTTATTTTGACTATTTTCCTTTTTGTTTCTGACTGTAATTGATGGCGTTTCTGCTATGTCTTCTCTTTGGTCACAGGCAAAATGCTACAGTATAGGGATTCTCTGTGCAAACTGTGAGTCCAGAATGTAGCACATTGAAAATGTATTTTGCATAGGAATTTTTAGCTACTGTCCATGCTTAGGCAGATGGAGCACCCTATGCTGTGCTTATTATGACATCAATTTAGGTGGAAATAATCATTAGAAAAGACTAGAAAAGACTATACGAAGGTTGAAAACACCGGAATACGGTGCTCAAACGTATGCTTAAAGGACTGTTTTTTAATTTGTATTTAATCATTCAACATACAGTGTGTTGGAGAATAAATTTCCCTGAGCATGCTCAGAGTGTGGGACCGTATTAGATCGGATTTGATGCCGCCCCGTCTAGTCATTGCTGATGTGAGGGAAAGATACCACATGTCGAATTTAAATCGGTTTTTAAGCTGGAGTAATGCCCCGCGTGTTATCACAGATCCGATCACGATTGCCAAATGTTGCACAGAAGCTGCAGTTCGGCTGGGCTCATTACACGCCTCGGTGGCTTTATGCCGTGTTTTCGCTGAAACACAGCGCCATTCCACCCAGTGCAGTGATTTCAGCCTTAAATTTGTGTTGGTGAAATGTCAGAACCGTACAGCTGTTCCGAAGTTAATGATGCTGCGCGTAATTTTTTTTATTCAGTATGTGCAACGTGAGTCGGAAAGAAATAGCACAGATTAAACGACGCATACGATGAATTTTTCTCAGACGCATTTTTTGGCAATTTTTACATTGCCCCCCAAATGGTGAAATCTAGTTGACTTCCATGTTATGTTACGTGTTTTGAAAAGTGGTTTTTTTAAACAGTTGAAATCGCTCAGTTTGTAGGGCTTTCTGTTCAAATTGTGAATCTTGAATTTTCTAATTAAAAACATTCTAAGAAAGGGTTACTCGTTGGCTTATTGTTATGTACTTACACAACAATGTTTCATCAAAGACAGGGACATAAAGGACAACAAAACTTTATAAAACTTCACAAGTTTTTGTGCACACATCAATGCAACATTGATTTGTCCTTCCCGGAATGATACGATAGTGTTGCTCGTAGTATGGAAGTGCCATTTGGTGCTATTTTTATACGACAAACTTGCACCAAAATTTAATGTAGCCAAAACTTTAAAATGAGGCTTATTGAAATATAACATGTACATGTACACATACATGTATTCAAAAAGTGCATCGTGTTAGCACCACCGCTATTGAGAACTCGAGGGTGGGGTTGAAAAGGTATGCCGTTAAAACTGTGCTTAGAGTTGAAATACCAAGTATACTTTTTAAATATGTTTGCTCTGGTTATGTTTAGATATTTACCTTGAAATGCATTGAGGAATGTGCTTAAATACCGGTACTAAACGCTTTTCCGTGGTAAACATTTAGCTTTGTGAAACCCGCTCAGTATTTGAACACATTCCTAACCACATTTCGAAATAAGTATCTGAATATGTCGTTAGTGAAACGTGTTTAAAGGTGGGTATCGTTTAGAAATGTGTACCCTCAGCGTCTTGTTTATGGTGTATTTAGGATAACTATAGGATATTGCCTCCAGTAGAGAGACCGCCAAGTTCGCTGCCATGGTGACGGAAACGGGGCGCTTTCATATCCTCCCACCGTTTGCCGTTGTTGGCACGAGTGCTGCGAGGCGATTCCGTCTCGTCTCCCTCGTTCAAGCTGCCTCGTTCCCTCTCGGCCAGTGCTTGTACAGCACAGATGCGGTATTTATGTGGAACGCTGCGGTAATGTTGGAGACGGTTAATTCCGATCGTCGGTGATCTCCCAAGGATAATGCACATGTTATCACACAAGTCAAAGATGTGACTGCTGGCAGTGCCAAAGACATTGCGGTTTTTCCTCTGGCGTATCAAGCAGGTCAGCTCAGTCGAACGCCCCTGGTGAACTTTGGGCAAATCGGCGTCATTGATCTGTGCCATTGATTTATTACGGTATGCCCATAGAACTATCGCTCTGATCCGATAGAGAAATAGCCCACTCTCCTTCAAGACCCTATCAAACTTTTTTAATTGATGGTAAACTGTGCTCAACAGCTAAATTGGAAGCATGACTATTGCGAAAACAATTCCTAATGGGTAATAATTCATAATGTGTTAACAAGAAAGCAGGGGGATACATGTTGTGGGCTATTTGATAAATGGTCAGATATCGGTATCTGGAGCCGAGTGTTCTTTAAAGAAGTCTGTCAGGAAGGACAATTTTTATTTCACAGGACTTAAGAATTATTTGCTTCTTTTATCTGTTGTTAATGTATGAGTCTTTATCGGCCCACTCCTGCACACGAGTGTTTGATGAAAGGAATTCTTGTTTGATATCAGTTGTAATACGCCGCAGATCGTCGAATCAATGCTGGGACAACTTGTCAGTAAACAAACGACAGAGGAATTGTACAG